TTTTTTTTTTTTTTTTTACAGAATACGCTGTATTTTAAGTATACACCTAGAAAACAGAGCGAGTTATTAATTATAGATGCGGAAACTCTTACAGTTACGGAAATTGCTGTTTTAGAAGGTCGTGATTGGTCATCCTCCGTTATGTTTTCTGATGGTGAATGTTTAGGAATGATAACTGCAGGAAAAGATGTTAGTTTTTTTTTTATTTTTGAATCAGTATCAATAAAATTTATGTTGGTTGAAAAAAATATACATTGAAATTTCATTAATTTCAACAGGATGGTTTTGTAGTCAGAACAATAAATACGTTAAGTAATCCAGTAACAGTTGCATCAGAATTACCATTAAAATTAGCAAGAAAATGTGTAGATGTTTTCGGATATGCTACTTTCGATGAAGAACAAAGCACTCATACATTAAATCCAGGCTGTGATGATGAAATTGCTACAGTTATTGCAGGAAAAGAATTTGCGTTGTTAAAAACCGTATCGGGAAAAGTAAGCATCACAATTTTTTAATATATTAAAGTAGAAGTAAAATATATGATTGTATCGTTTTTTAAAGGTTCTATATAGCGGAAAAGGAACTTCTCTTGGTATGAAAAATAACACAAGGCCTAATAGATGGATGGAATTAACGCTTGGAAAAGGTCCAAGACTTATAAATTTTGCAGCTGGTCATGATGGTCAACATGTTGTAATGGTAATGGATGATGGTTCGGTTTTATTTGCTGGTACTGCTAGACGTGGAGAAGATGGTGATAATAGTAAGTGTATTATTAACTTCTATGATATGAAATTCATAACATGCTTTGATATTTTCATCTATTTTTTTTTTTTTTTATTTTTAGATAAAGTTAGGCGACAACCTAAACCAGTCAAACCAAAAATAAACCAGTCAAACCAAAAAAAATAGCAAAAGTAGAAGGACAATATATAGTAGATGCTGCTTGTAATAATGGATCAACAGCATTAGTTACAAAAGAAGGTTCTTTGCTGATGTTTGGCAAAGATACGTTGCATAGCGATCCGGTTTCGGGGATAATTAATGATCTTAGAGATGTTTGCGTTGTTCATGTTTCATTAGGTAAAGCTCACGCTGCAGCATTAACTAATAAAGGACATTTGTACACATTTGGAATTAATAATAAAGGACAATGTGGAAGAGATTTTACTACAGTTCATAGCACTATAAATAAAGATACCTCCTCTGTTGCTGTAGAAATGGGTACAGCAGAAGATGAACTTTTAGTAACTGAAGAAGGTAATTGTATATACATATACATAATTTTAATATTTTTTCATATTATAAAAAAAAAAAAATTTTTTTTATATATACTTAGATGGTATGGAATCTACCGAAGATTGGGAAGAAACAAAAGGTATGTGTCCGCCTGGATTACATCAATGGAGGCATCGTGTTTGTATGGTTTGCACAGTATGCCGAGAATGTACTGGATATAGCATATCATGTTTAAGTAGTATACGCCCAGATCGAAATCCAGGCCAGTATGTATATTAATTATATATGTATATATATAAAATAAGAAATTAAAAGACGTATTTTCAGGGAATGTGGATGTGGTGAAGGTGATAGTGGATGCGCGGAGTGTGGATGTTGTCGTACTTGTGCAAGAAAAAGTTGCACCAATGGTAAAAATTCATTTTGAAATTAAAGTGATATTAATTGAACATTTTTGTAGGTTTTTTTATGTTATTATTATATTATATTTTAGGTAGATCAAGTTCAAATTTTCGAGAATATTTACAAAGATGCTTGGGAGAAATAAAACAAAAGCAGAGAACGAAGGCAGGTCCGAGTACTGCAAAATATGGAATGAAGTTGAAAGGTCCGAATAATCAAAGATTGGGTAATTATTTTAATTATAAAATAGATGTATTATGAAATAGATATATTATAAAATTAAATTAAATTATAATAATTAATAATTAATAATTAAACGATAAATTTTCTGTAAAATAGCTGGTCCAAGTGTGATCCAAAAAATTGCTGGAAAAATGGCATTAGGATTAGGTACTAATTTAATGAACGAAGAAGGTATTGGTGGGAGTGATATTGAACGAGGTGATGCTGCAAGAATTGCTAGTATACCACCAGCTAGAGTTCCTATACCTAATGAAAGTCCTGTGGTTCAAGTATCATGTGGTTTACATCATACAGGTAATTAATAAAAATTTACTTTATATTTTTCTAATAAATTTATGAAAATATATGTATCATGTTATATTTAGTGGTACTCTTACAAAATGGAGAAGTTTATACATTTGGAAGCAACATATATGGTCAGTTAGGTGTAGGAGATTTGATAGCACATGTTGGACCAGTACATGTTAAATTACCAGGAATTGCAACGCAAATTGCTGCTGGAAGCAATCATACGGTTGTACTTACATCAAAGGGAGAAGTGTTTACATTTGGAGCTTATCAAGTTTGTAGTAGTATTAAAAAAAACCATTATCCGATAATTGAATAAAATAAATAATTAATATTTTCATATTTCTCGTTAGAAAGGACAATTGGGCATAAATTGGTGGAATGGACAAAATGAACTTTCAAATTCTTCTCCTCAAATTAGTCGTCGTTCTGATAGGACACAGCCACGCCATTGTTTCCCAACCGTAGTTCCAAATATTGGTCCACAATGGGGCAGACGAGCGACGTGGGTTGGTGCAAGTGGAGATCAAACTTATGTCAAAATTGATGAAATAAATTCTATTAGTTTAACACGGAGTACTGTTATGGCAAATAAAAATTGCATAAGTATGTCTTCTTTTTTGAATCATAGCTCCATCATTACATATATTATCAAGTGCATCTAATTATAAAAATAATTATAAAAAACTTGTTTCAGTTTTAATTCCGCATCAAACTGATCATGCAAATTCCTTCAAATGTTTAGTTATAAGCAAAAGAGATGGTACATGTAATAGTTATAGTGGAACCGATCAAGTTGATTTCAATAATTGCGCTACATGTTTAGATCCTTTATATAACGTGATTTGGACTTTCAATCCTATAAATAGCGAAATAAG